AATGATCTGTGTAATGTAAATGAATAATGAACATGTTGCACACTGGGTTTCGAGTTTCGGGTTTCAGCACTTGAAACTCGGTGATTTGTGCAACAAGTGAAAAATGGAAATGTTGCATACATATTTTCAGGTCTCGGGGTTCGGGTTTCGGCCCTCGGCACTCGGAACTCAATGAATTGTGTAATGTACATGAAAAATGGACATGTTGCACACTGGGTTTCAAGTTTCATGCTTTGGCACTCGAAACTCGGTGATTTGTGCAGTGAGTGAAAAATGGACATGTTGTGTACATATTTTCAGGTCTCAGGCTTTGGGTCTCAGCCCTCGGCACTCGGAACTCGATGATTTGTGTGATATAAATGAAAAATCAACATGTTGCACACTGGGTTTCAAGTTTCACGCTTTGGCAGAACTCGAAGTTGTTGATTTAGATATCACCCAAAACCTGAACACCCGAATGTCAAATTTTCAGTGCCGAACCCCCAACCCTGACTGCCGGGTGCTGAGTCCCGAAGTCCGGAACTCAGGATTTGACATTTGAGATGAACGAAATTTTTCAGACATGTTTGAATTAATCTACGTATATCTATAAACATTTCACTAACCCCTGAACCCTGAAAGATATTTTTGTTGTCTTACATACCAAATTCCGAGTTCCGAGTTCCGGGACCCCGGACCCCCGAAACCCGGCAGTCCACAATTTCGGAGTTCAGGGGTTGGTAAAATGTGTATGGATATATGAAGGGTTGGTTTAAACATTTTAAAAGATGTCTCATATCAAATGTCAAGTCCCAAGTTTCGATTTCCGGGTTTCAAGAGTGCTGAGTCCCGAAGCCCGGAGTCCCGAAACCCGGAGTCCTGAAACCCGGAAATCAAAACTCGGGACTTGACATTTGATATGAGACATCTTTCAGAAATGTTTCAATCAACCTTTCATATATCCATGCACATTTTACCAACCCCTGAACCCCGAAATTGTGGACTGCCAGGTCTCGGGGTTCGGGGGTCCCGGAACTCGGAACTCGGGAAATTTGGGGAGATCAATAAAATTTGATTTACCCATGTTGAAAATATATTTTTGTTCTACATACCGAGTTCCGAGTTCCGGACCCCCGAACACCGAGACCCGGCAGTCTCGGGGTTCGGGGGTCCCGGCACTCGGAACTTGGGGAGATTTGGGGAGATCAATAAAATTTGATTTACAATTGAGTTGATTGGCAAACACATTGACTTACCCATGTTTGAAATATATTTTTGTTTACACATACTGAGTTCCGAGTTCCGGGTTCCGGACCTCCGAACCCTGAAACCCGAGACCCGGCAGTCCACAATTCTGGGGTTCGGGGGTTGGTAAAATGTGTATGAATATATGAAAGGTTGAATGAAACATTTTTGAAAGATGTCTCATATCAAATGTCAAATCCCGAGTTTCAACTTCTGGATTTTGGGAGTGCCAAGTCCCGAAACCTGGAGTCTTGAAACCCGAAATTCGAAACTCGGGACTTAACATTTGATATGAGACATCTTTCAAAAATGTTTCATTCAACCTTTCATATATTCATACACATTTTGCCAACCCCTGAACCCCAGAATTGTGGACTGCTGGGTCTCGGGTTTTGGGGTTGGGGGGTCCAGAACTCAGAACTCAGTATGTGTAAACAAAAATATATTTCAAACATGGGTAAGTCAATGTGTTTGTCAATCAACTCAATTATGAATCAAATTGTATTGATCTCCCCAAATTTCCCCCGAGTTCCGAGTTCCGGACACCCGATACCCGAGACTCAAATTGTATTGATCTCCCCAAATTTTCCCAAGTTCCAAGTTCCGGACACCCGACACCCGACACCCGGCAGTCTCGGGTATCGGGTGTCCGGAACTCGGAACTCGGGGGAAATTTGGGGAGATCAATACAATTTAATTTACAATCGAGTTAATTGACAACACATTGACTTAATCATGTTTGCAATATATTTTTGTTTAGACATACCGAGTTCCGAGTTCCGGACACCCGATACCCGAGACTGCCGGGTTTCGGGTTTCGGGTGTCCGGAACTCGGAACTTGGGAAAGTTTGGGGAGATCAATACAATTTGATTCACAATCACGTTGATTGACAAACACATTGACTTAACTATGTTTGGAATATATTTTTGTTTAGACATACCGAGTTCCGGACACCCGATACCTGAGACCCGGCAGTCTCAGGTTTCGGGGTCCGGGGGTCCGGAACTCAGAACTCGGTATGTCTAAACAAAAATATATTGCAAACATAGTTAAGTCAATGTGTTTGTCAATCAACTTGATTGTGAATCAAATTGTATTGATCTCCCCAAACTTTCCCAAGTTCCGAGTTCCGGACACCCGACACCCGAAACCCGGCAGTCTCGGGTCTCGGGTATCGGGTGTCCGGAACTCGGAACTCGGTATGTCTAAACAAAAATATATTGCAAACATGGGTAAGTCAATGTGTTGTCAATCAACTCGATTGTAAATTAAATTGTATTGATCTCCCCAAATTCTCCCAAGTTCCGAGTTCCGGACACCCGATACCTGAGACCCGGCAGTCTCAGGTTTCGGGTTTCAGGGGTTGGTACATCTCGGTTTGGGGTTTGGCACTGAAAATTTGACATATATATTTTTGTGAGTGTTGTGCTTCTGGTGTCCATGCTTAGAAATAGGATTTGTTGCACACCAGGGTTCAGGTGTGGGGTTTTTCCACTTCAGTCCTGGATTATTGGTCAATGCCACACATGATCGATTCATGTTTTTGTGCTTAGGGGTTTAGATTTGGTGGTTGATGGTAGGTATATGCACTCATAGTGTACATGTATCCTATGTGTTTGATTCGCTGGTGGCTACATCAGCTGTATGTCTTGATGGAACATATCTAGGCTCACCCATATATGTAATACACCCCCGACGGCCCGCCCATCTATGTATTATCCCCCACGTCAGCCAACCCATCTATGTAATACATCCTATGTTGGCCCACCCGTCTATATAATACATCCTGCATCGGCCCACCCGTCTATATAATTATACCCCACCTCGGCCCACCTGTCTATGTAATAAATATTTTATAGCACCCTCGGCCCACCGGTCTATTTGATATCCCTTTCGTCGGCCCACCCGTATATGTAATACATTCCATGTCGGCCCACCTGTATATGTAATACACCCTACGTCAGCCCACCCGTCTATGTAATATTTCCCTACCTCGGCCCACCCATATATGTAATACACCCACGTCGGCCCATCCGTCATCATCGAGAATATACACAACATGGGCCCATGATCAGCTGGCCCGTCTCATACGGGATATTATGGAGGTCGGGTGGCCCGTATAATACGGAATTTGTCACTGAAGGGGCTCAGAATAAGAAGCGAGTTTATAAACACCGATCTGTAACATTTCAGATGAGATTCAGGGAATTATGTGGACGGAAAGGATCGTGACCTGTTCGCAACGCGTTAAGCTGGGCATACCCTGGAAGGAAGGACAATCAAAGAAAGTGCATACCACAAGACAGTCACGGTGCTTACCGCCGACCAAACCCATATACATATGACTCTGAGATCAGTAGCGCTTTTGGTGAGGCTGTGTGCCTTGTCTGGTGAGCTCATTGACACTATTACTCCTTCTAACACATTTCAATTCTTAATAGGCGATGCTGCACCAAGCATCTGGGAAGGCACAGTCTCTCATGTTCAAACCAACCACGACCGGGGGACGCCGTGCACTGCTTACTGTTCAGCATAACGTCACAGACACGTCCCCATCATTACATAATCTATTCCCATCTACCCCTTGAACCGCGTCACTCTGATCACCCAATTACGCTGCTGCAGACCTGCACCCCATCCAAATCAATGGCTCCACTACAAGTACACGTTGCCCACGCAGGAAAAACTCTCGATGTTGACCTAGAGACATCCCTTCCACCTGCCGCGTTCAAAGATGTGATTTATCAGGTCACGGGCGTGCCGCTGGAGCGTATGAAAGTTATGATCAAGGGTCTCGGTATGCATGTGATTTAAGGGTTGTAGTGATGGCTTTTGCGTAGACATGGACGAGTCGGAAATCGCAGAAGCCGTACGTTTGTTTTATTTGCGCTAGTGTGGGGTTACTCAGGTTTTTGTTCTTGCAGCTCTCTTTACCAGGGATGTCCTACCTCGTGCGCTGAGAGACTTGTACAACGACATATCTCGTATGACGGAGGGATATATCCCTAGCACGTTTTTGAACGTGCTGTGTCAGATTCTGCCTCAGTTCGGGGAGGTTGATAGATCGGGCAGGAATGTAATCTTAGGGGGGTTCGCGCAGCAAGGCGAGCGTTTTTCTGCCGTCTTTTTGGTTGGGTTGTTGACTTAAGGTATAGACGCTGAGGAGTGTTGGACACAGCTTGCGAATGACTTTAAAGAAGTTCCCGGGATTGATGCTACGGGTAATACAGTAGCAGGGGGAGGAGATTCGTCGATCAGTTTATGATGGCAGCGATACACAGAGAGTGATCTAGATTTTCCTTTTTTTTGCTCAGCTTCAGCTGACTGATTCGGACAGATTCAAATGCGACGAAGCGTCTGAAGAGCCTAGCACTGTCACGCTAGAAAAGGTGCTGAAAATCGAGTGTAATATTTCAGCGACAACGAATTATATGCATACTGGTATCAAGGATGTATGCATGTTTTTTGTGCTTGGGTTGGTCTTTGCTTATGCGTATGCAGGCACTGAACTCTCAATTGGCAAAGAACTCTCCTTCGCTTGGACGTCAAGCAGTTTACAGTCAGACATCGCGTCTCTCGCGTCTACCAAGTTACCTGACGGTGCACATGGTTCGTTTTGCATGGAGACGTGATATCGGAAAGAAGGCCAAGATCATGGTGAGCACGAATCATTTCTAGCTCTGCCTCACGTCTCACGATCCCTAGCACAAAGTGAAGTTTGCGTCAGAGTTTGATGCGTTGGAAATAGTGACCGATGAACTGAAATTGATGCTCATGCCGTTGTCCAGCTGCCTAAAGTCTATTGAGAAAGAGTGTGCCGAGCGGCGAAAGGTGCGTAAATGGACGAAAGTGGCGCAGGAGGCGTCGCCGTCATCTAGGCCCGCAGAAGAGAGTGTGGATGTTGAAATGGTGCCTGCCAGTGAGGTGGTGCCGGGGGACCCGGAGGAGGAGAGCATATATCATGCGCGGGAACTGATGCTCGTGATTACTCTCTTTATAAGGCAATATATGTCCTTCTCAAGTTTCCCTCAGTTCACTGATGTACCGGTAATGCTGCTACGAGCGAGCCCCGTCTGCTTGGTACTGTGGAGAACCAGGTTCGTCTCGTTAAGAATTCTAGATTATATTCGACAGACTTACTCATGTTTTTCACATAGCTTGGTATCCGCAAGTGGTTCGAGTCTCAAGGCCACGAGTACATCGTATGTATCGAAGTTTCTGGCATACTTACACAGTCACCTAATCTACTCATTTGTATAGGTTTTGGACTCAAAAGAGGGCGCTGACAGCGACTTCCAGAAGCACATCGTTGATGTATGTTCAAGCCCCACTACTATACATATATCCACGTGTACTTGCTCTCTTTCTTAGGCTGAGATCTTGATCACGACTCCATTCCACCCCGGGTACCTCACTGGTGACTTGATCGCGAAGGTATGATGATCATTGAGCTATCGTCGATCGATATGAACGGTTCATTCATACTCCTGATAGGCCAAGAAGCTCAAGCTCTGTGTCACCGCTGGTGTTGGCCCTGACCACATTAACCTCAACGCCACTGTCAAAAATGGTATTCAGGTACTGGAGGTCTCAGGATCCAATGTCGTCTCCGTCGCCGAGCATGTCGTGATGTCTATCCTCCTCCTCAGGAACTTTGTTCCAGCACACGAGGTATGATGACCCACTGGCGCGCGTTTCACTCTGTTGATTACTCGCCATTCTTAGATGATCGAGTGTGGAGACTGGATGGTTTCCACCGTTGCTTGCAATGCCTTCGATCTCGAGGGCAAGGTCGTTGGCACCATTGGTGCTGGTCGTATTGGCTACCGTGCCCTCCAGCGTCTGATGCCCTTCGACTGCAAGGAGCTCCTCTACTACGACTACGCTTCCTTTCCTGAAGGTTTGTACCACACAATCTTCGGTTTTGTACAGCTTGATTCATGTAATTACAGCTGCTGCTAAGGCCGTCAACGCTCGTCCTGTCGAGGACCTCAAGGACTTTGTCTCGCAGTGCGATGTTCATCACTGTCAACTGCCCTCTACACGAGGGTACACTAGGCCTCGTCAACGTTGAGCCTCTCAAACACTTCAAGAAAGGTGCATGGCTCGTTAACATCGCTCGCGGTGCTATCTGTGACAAGGACGCCGTAGCTGCTGCCCTTACAAGTGGTCACCTGGACGGTTTGCGAACCCCACCACCTAGTATCTGCACCTTGAGCTTACATGACAACAGGTTATGCTGGTGATGTTTGGAACGTCCAGCCCGCACCCAAGGACCACGTCTTGCGCACGGGTAAGAACACCCTCGGCGGCGGTAACGGCATGGTACCTCATTACTCTAGCACCACCCTCGATGCTCAGGCTCGTTATACAAGCGGCACCAAGAACATCATCGAGAACTACCTCTCTGGCAAGGCTCAGGAGCCTCAAAACATCATTGTCGGTATTGGCAAGCACGAGACCAAGTCTTGTGAGTACCTGTTTGGACATGTTGCTTGTCGGTCTTGTCCGACATATTCTTGTAGACGGTCAGCGTTGAACGTTGAACTGCTGATCCATGGGTCATGGCTACAATTGCACAATTCAAGCTTTCGAAACAAGGCAGGCCGTTGCCTGACATTCCCTACTCATCCCAGTTGGGCTGTTCTATCCTCAAAGATTAATGAAATGTTCGGTATTGCAACCGATAATATTGGGGTGCCCTAACTTGACCAAGATTTGGACGAAGTAACTTTCAGCTCTGAAGAGGAGTTGCAGGACTACTATAGTACCCTCGGTGACGCTAAATCCAAACTCATCAAACTTTCGGTACAGAACCTCAGCTCCCTTAGGTCTACGATGCAGCGCCCTCCTGCCACCATACCGCATTCCCACAACAATCTCACTTCTGGAACACATTCGGAGAACAGGAGTCGCTGCCTTTCATTTGGGAGGCCGACGACGAGTGGCAGCGTCTCCCTGGTAGCCTTGGTAGTCTTGTCTTGTCTAGTGACTCTCCGGAGAGCCCACACGTGTTCGTGGGGGTTCTCGAGAGTGATGTCAGTGTCTCCAGGAAGTTTAATAACACAGACGAAGAATCCGCCATTGGAGACACTACCCGCTGAGACGGGACATTTACTATGCCTACTTCTCGAAGCTTTGAGAGCGTGATGAACGAGAGTAGCGGAAGAGCACGAAAAAAGAAGAAGCTTACTTCGCCGAGTAGGAGGAGCTTGACAGATCGCTTGGCGCAGGTGCCAGGGTTTTCGAATTCGAGGCTGTCAGGAACTGCCTGATATATTTAGATCTTACTGCTATAGTTTCACTTACTTGGCTACCTACAGTGAAGTTTTTCCCCACCATGTTACTTTCAGGTGCTGAGCCATAACTAGTAGTGTGCAGCACAACAAATCGTACAGTACTTCAATGGTCCTTGGTTACCTGGTACGTCATGATCACGTGAGCATACGGTTTGCTTGTCAAGTACTTCTCTCAGTTCAGTTGGCGGGCCAACTCCGCACTGTGATTCATGCAGGTCTTATGGACTTTCTGGATACTACTGCTATTTCTCTCAATGGTGTCTTGTGGTGCACATGGTTGCTCTTGGGATAGGCCAACGGACACTCGAGGACTCAGTAGGCATCGTGCAAGTTGCCACTTTTTCAAGAAGTCCGGCATCCTTGCAGCTCAGAAGAGACTACAACGAGCGAGAAATGCAGCAATGCAAAATTTAATTCCGAGTCCGTTAGGTACTAAAACGAACACATCGCAAGTTCGTGATTCAAGTTCACGATTTCTGCTATACAGTGCACTGATTCACGTCAACAGAGAATATTACCGGCAAGACTCAGGGATGTGACGGCACATCCAAAGCCAATTACTTTTTGCAAACCCTCTGCTGTCTGCCCGTCTTTCAATGCCCCCAGTCTGGGGGCTTCGCATGACCCCCCCAATGTAAACCCAGAACAGGGTCAAAGTTTTATGGACTTCGGGTTGGGGGACACCAATTTCGAAAATAGTTCTGAGTGTGACCTGCGTTCGTACTATTTATTTCCTGTATCTAATATCTGCTAATCACTCGGCTTCAACAGGACCGGGGCTTCCCAGGAGACACATTCCAAGACCTTTCGACGATATCCATCATTCAGCCGAGGATCTCAACGACTCTGGTAATATCGCTGATGTCCCATCAATCCCACCTCGAACCAGACTCCAACGAGTCCTTCTAACATTGAGAGACACCCTCCAGACTGTTTTCAACTCGTTCGGACTCTGCCATCTATATCCCCGTCGTCCTTCCTTCGAACCGAATAAATTCATACCATCCTCATTACTTGCACGGTCGTGTCCAACAGCTATTCAAGGAACAGATTCACTGCCAAATATCTTTCCGCCACCATACCCCTTTCCCAACATGACCGTTTATCGGCTCATGTCTTGGATGAATTCAGGCAGCCATCAAAAATCAGAAGCTGAGATCCAGCGCCTCGTCAAAGATGTTTTGCAAGCTGATAATTTCGACGTCAAGCATCTCGAGGGATTTTCGGTGAGGAAAAGCTTGCGAGAATTGGACAAGGATGAAGGTGCGGACAGAATCACTTTCCCAGACGATTGGGTCGAGACCAACGTCACTATCAAGATTCCGACGAAGTCAAGGGAGGAAGACTCCATTCCATATACCATTCCTAGTTTTCATTATCGCCCTCTTGTTGAAGTCATTCGCGCTGCATTTGCAGATATACAAGCAGGCGCGTTTCACTTATCACCTTTCAAACGTCTATGGAAGGATGCTTTAGACGACCATCAAGAGCGAATATTCGATGAGCTTTATACCTCCGATGCGTGGCTTGAGGCCCAGGACGATCTTCAGAAATTGCCGAAGGAACCCGGTTGTTCCTTAGAACGGGTTATAGCAGGCCTTATGTTCTTTTCCGATGCCACTCATCTGGCAAATTTTGGAACGGCAAAAGCTTGGCCGCTTTACCTCTATTTCGGAAACCTAACGAAGTATGTCCGGTCATTACCTCAATCGGGAGCATGTCATTTAGTAGGGTTCTTGCCTTCTGTGAGTCCCTGCACGATACCTGCCGACTGTTATTGATACCAACCGCTTTTCCAGCTTCCTGATTGTATCAAAGATGTTCTGAGCGGCCTGTCTCGCATATCGAAAACGGGTATGGCGTCGCTTCATACTCACTGTCGCAGAGAGTTGTTCCAGGCATGTTGGGAAATTTTGCTCGATGAAGACTTTGTTCATGCGTATCGTCACGGTATTGTCTTGAAATGCGCTGATGGAGTGTTGCGGAGGGTGTTTCCTCGTATCTTCACATACTCCGCCGATTACCCCGAGAAGTATACTTCCGCTTTGCCTTCATTACAACCAGGTCACTTATAGAGTTCCAGGGTTTTAATTGCGACTATGAAGGACATGGGTTTATGCCCTTATCCCCGCTGTCTCACTCCGAAAAACTTATTCAGTCAGCTTGGTCTCGTGCAGGATATGAAAATTCGCATAACAAAACTCCGTCTGTATGCTATAGCAAAGGTTGTCAAGGCTCGAGAGTATATATATCAGAGGGGGAATACTGTAGATGGTCCGAAGGTCGAAGACGCTCTTGGAGAGGGTTCATGGGTGCCCACCTTGGTAAGCACGACCAACCCCTTCCAATTTACGACCGACCAAACCAGCTACCTACAGAATCAAATTTTCCGGAAACTCGGACCGTTCGGCCTCAACCCATTCCGCATGCTCGTTGTCGACTTCATGCATGAATGCAAATTAGGCACTTGGAAGGCCTTATTCATCCACCTTATCAGGCTTCTGTATGCTCTTACTGGAGGTACTCAGTTGGTCGCTACCCTCGACCGCAGGTATGCAGATTTCATACATAGTTCTATTACCTACTAATGAATCGATCTTGCTCTAGATTTCGCCAGGTGCCGACCTTTGGCAATGGCCTGATTCGAAAATTCGCGAACAATACTTTGGAGATGAAAAAATTAGCAGCGCGGGACTTTGAAGACATCTTACAGGTTTTTTTGTATCACTTAATTTCCTGAAGTAGGCTCTGACATGTTCTTCGTCATTAGTGTGCCATACCGGTTTTTGAGGGACTATTTCCCCCAGGCCACGATACAGCGGTGCAGACTTTGCTGTATCAGTTCGCGCAGTGGCATGCGCTTGCCAAGCTCAGGCTGCACTCAGAGTCTACAGTGACTCTCCTTGAAGAGACTTTCAAGAAGCTCTCCCAAAAGCTGCGGAAATTTCGACGCGACACTTGCGACGTGTTCAATACTACGGAGTTACCAAAAGAGACGTCCGCTCGTCAACGAAAGCTCGCTCGGCAGTCCGAGACACATACCACCTCTCCAGAATCAAGTGGACCGAAAACGAAGAAATTCAATCTGAATACGTACAAGTTTCATGCGATGGCCGATTACGTGCGAACGATACGATTCTTCGGGACCACAGATTCATTCACTACTCAGATGGTACGTGTATCTTGTTTGCTCACTATCTACAGAACTTAATTTCAGTCAGGGGGAGCTCGCGCACAGAGCGCTCAAGGCATTTTATCCACTGACAAGTAAGTTGGACACTCCAGCGCAATTAGCGAAGCACGAGCGCAGGCGCCGCGTACTTCGGCGCATCGCAGAAGCAGGAAGTACACCGTCCCCCGATAATCAATCGCCTGCCGATGCCCCCCCTTCAGCATCCTCTGGAATACATCATCATATTGCAACTCATAAGAGCAATCCAGTTAATCTATTCCGGTTCCTTCAAGAACACAATGGTGATCCGGCCATAAAGGTACGAGGTGATATTGCAACGGGAACACCTCACTTTTCTCACCATAACTGGCAGAATTTCATACCGAAACTGAAGGACCATATTCTTTACCGGCTGCAGAAGCTAGATATAAGCTATTGCGACCATATATTTACAGACGAGGAGCACAACTCGGTTATCATCCCTAACAACATCATTTACTCCATCCAGACTATGCAGGTATATTATACTACATATGATCTCAGGCGCAAGTACGACTCTATCAATCCTAGAACACATGCTGATGTTATGGTGGTTTCAGGAGAGACAGTACCTACCCATCCATACTGGTATGCCCGTGTATTAGGCATCTACCATATGGAAACTTGGATCAATGACGGAAGCCGGCCTATAAAGCAACACCTCGAGGTTTTGTGGGTCAGGTGGCTGGCTCCATTGCGCAACCATCAATCCGGCATCAAAAACGCTCGTCTCCCGAAGGTTGCGTTTGTGGACGAGTCAGATGCTGACGCGTTTGGATTTCTCGATCCGGGGCAGGTGGTTCGAGGAGCCCACTTGATTCCCGCATTCGCCTCGGAACGTGGTACCAGCTCGCTTCGCTATGGACAATCTCTGGCACGTCCTGGGGGAGAGTCAGACGACTGGGAAGAACACTATGTTGGAATGTGAGTTCGGATAATATTCCTTCCTATGATCAGTTTCTCACCTCTTTGTGTTAGATTCGTTGACTAAGATATGTTCATGCGATATACTCAGTTTGGTGTTGGGCATCCAGTGATGTTGCGGAGGATAGTTAGAGACATAGTGGCACCAGCCGATTCCATGGACGTTGTAGATGAAGATGTCGCCAATGACGAGGACCACGAACAATGGGATGACGAACAGGAAGATGGCGATGATGAGTCCAGTGACGAAGAGCTGGAAGACGAGAAAGACAGTGAGAATGACAGAGGGGAGGATGAAGATGAGGATGTGTTGGACGACGACCTTTCTTTCTAAGCGAAATAGTTTTATTTACAGGTTTTCAGGTTTTGCACGTATGCTGCCGTTTTTTTGGTTTTTTAGACCATGATAATACTGGGATTTGACCACCTGAAGTGTAGCGCATACACTGGTGGTACTACTACAGTCGTGCTCGAGATTTTCATAGCCCTGGCCCCGCATGTGCATATTCAATTTCTTTCTGTAGAAGTTATCATGGCTAGCACTGAATTAGTACCACTATGATCACAAGTTTACAACGCTTTGAAATACTATCAGGTCCGACTTTAATTTGGCCGTGAATACTAATACTAGTCGCCGCATCACTGAGTGACTCAGACTAAATCATAACTGTTTCAAAAATGAGAAGGGTCCATAGTACCACTAGGATCGGTAGCTCGGGGACAAATGAAATTACTATCATAGTGTAGTACATTTTGATCACAAAAACCAACATAACCGTTTCCTCCATTGAAAGTACGATCGGGAGAAGATCTCAAACTCCAGGCCTAGTAAGTCGAACTCGGAGCAAAAGCCAATTGTCAATCTTGAATGGTACCTTCCGAGTTAAGTTCCATCAGAGTCGGACGACGAGGACTTGGAATCGGATATGTTCTCCCAGGCGGGCGACTGTAAATTTCGTGACCTGCTTCGAACCTCAAGACCATCATCTTGTGAAATGCTTGAGAAATGAAGATTCATAGAACGAGAAAGGTCGGTACCTTGCAGAGTAGCCTGAGTGACGAGGATCGTAGTGACACTGCCAGTCACTGGCACTAGGCAACCGTACATTTCGCGACCTGCCTCGAACCTCCCCTGTAAAATTTCTGGCATCGGAAGAAGTCATGAATGTTACACAGTTTCGAAAGCAAGAGTGCTAGTAAAGGTCGGTCATCATCCCGACGAGGATTGCGGTGAGTCCCGGGCGGCCAACTTGAACATCATCATATTGATTGTTTGTTATTATTTGTCTTCCTGCACCGGACGATCAACGGTGTACACTGTGTCTTACTCAGTGTCTGCTGGCATGTCCCATGATCTACTCGGGCTTTTACCACTAGCAAGTGAAGCTTGTTCTCATCATTTGTGGCTGCATTTGCAAGTTCTCCCTTGTGCTCTATTGCACTCTGAGATGATGATTGGCGACAAACCTTGTGAGATTTTACAATTCATCTATCATCTCATTACTGACCATCTTCCTATATGAATGCATATTTTATTTGTATTTTCTTCAGTCATCTCTTGATCATCTACTAGACCTGTCACTGTTACAGTGGCAGCAGTTTCAAAGAGGCACTATTTAATTGGGAGGATTATCATGCAGGGACCTTTCAACCGGACCATTTACAAGTTTTTTTGTTGCAAAGGATACAATATGAATATGCGGACAATATATTCAGTATACATTTCACAATTCATCTACAATCTCATTACTGACCAATTTTATTTTTCTTGCTAGATGAATACAGATTTGCACTTTCTCTAGTCACCTCTTGATCACCCAGATCTGCCACTGTGACAGTGGCGGGTTCACAGGGGTACCATTTGATTGGGAAGATTGTAATGCAGAGAGCTTTGAACTGGAGCATTTATAGGTGCTTCATCACAAAGGATACAATTGTATTACTACACAAGAAATATCCGCAGTACGCCTTTCAATGCACTCGTGATCCCTCATCATGGCCTGTAATTTGGTAAGCTTCCATGTTGTCGATGGTTGGTTATGGAGGTTACTGATTATCATGACGACTATTTGACCCATCCTATAGATGGTGACAAGCTGAAGAGACCTTTTGGCCGCTTACAGCTATCACACCCTTATCTATGAAATATCACCTAACCCGCACCCAATCTCAGGTGTTTGTATAGTTGGTAGGGGGATCTGGCACACAGCAGGTACGCAGAGTTTATACAGAGTCCAGTCATTCGCTCACAAGTTACTCATATCTCTAACATTTGGTAGCAGCGTCATTCTCTCTTCACCTCCTTTTCACACTTTCGGAATCATAATTCCTGCAAGGCATGTTAGCTTGGCTTCTAATTACCATCATCACCTCTCTTGTAAGTCGGTTTAAATACTTCTCTCTTCCAAGTCTGATTTTCGCTTACAGTCTCCTGGCAGCATCCTATTTCTTGTACCCAGCTCTGGCATTACTTGACAGGCATAGTACATGTCTAATTTTGTCAGTACTCACCATCGTCAACCCCCCAGTCCCTTCGTAGTCGCTCTCGAGTCGGTGCTACCACCACCCTATTTCTGCACACGCCCTGGCGACCAAAAGATTACATCTGCAAGCTGAGACTGCACAGAACCCAAACATCGTAATGGAGATAAGTTTGGACGGCGACCACTTCATTTGGGTCAATCATGCATGGAGAGTTGTTGTCGGGTAAGGAGCTTGTTTCCGGCGATGTTCGGCTTGTCTGACATATTATGATGCTTAGGACGGCTGGAACTAGAATTTCACATCTTCTCGCCCCTGCAGATTGTTCTATTTTCGGGATGCCACTTATCAACTACAACAGGATGATTCACATACTGTAGAGGTGCGCTTCGGACTTCAAGTCGAGCCAGAGGGCGACCATGATACTTGAATCTGGTATTCTTTACCAATATATGGCAAAGACATGCTCATGATTGACCGTGAGGGTGCACAATCGTCTCACATGATGTGTGTTGCCAAGCCGGTAGGTTCCCCAAGATGGGATTGTCCTTCGCCCTCCATTGTCCTGGAATCCGGTGATATTGGAGATGAACCCATTGTTGAGGAGCCCTTGAAAGAACTGTTTGCCAACCGCTCTGGACTCGAACGAGTGACGCCCTTTCCCTTCGCGCAGCTGATTTCTACGGAGCCCATATTGTGTCGGATACGCGAGTGTCAAATCCCGCAGTGGTACATCGAGAAGCATAGCAAGACCTGCGTTGAATTGCACCGGCTTGAAGCTGAGATTGTTGAGTGCAACGAGTCTATTGGCGAGCTCAAGAACACGATTCGAGACAGTGTGGTTGCCATGGATACCCCTTCCCCAGCTTCGCCCCCCGAGTACAGAGGAGTCCCCATTTTCACGCACTCAAGTTCGCCGAGCATCCCTGGTCCTTTGCAGTTGTTCTGGTGGGATTACATGCAGAGGTTGAGCATGAAGAAGACACAGCGCAGGTTATTGGAATCGCTTGACGGGATTCTCCTGATTGCTTCTGAGATTTCCATGCCTTCTCTAGAGGAGGGGCCAAAGGAGCCAATTGGGCATCAGCGGTTACTTTCGCCAGGATCGGAGCGGAAGATGTCCCAGATCCGTACATGGTGTCGGCCACCTGTTGAGGATGCTGCTCTCTCTCAGCTTGCTGAAGACGTAGAGGCACCGGTTGACGACGATCGCCAATCAATTTGAAGAGCTACTGTCCTCCGAGCCTATCATTATGGCTTCCACGTCTCCTATATCGATCGCTACCCCAAATGCTAGTCGCGCCTCCAAGTTCGACTACAGCATTCAGTCCATCGCTGTTCCTGGCACCAAACGTCCTGGTCAAACCGGTACGTCCCACGTATTCGTCAGCGGACGTTTCATTAACTTCGAAGCTTTTCAAAGCCCACTATCGGAATGGTGAGTCCTATCTAGTACAGGATTGAGCTTCACATGTTTTTTAATTGCTCATTTCATTTCATGACACTTCAGCATTATATGGTCTTGTAGACGTCAGCGTCCTACCAACACTTCCTGATGTTTTCGACAACGGTTACAACATCAATCCGGACTCTAAACTCCTTGGTCACCGTCCGTTAGTGTCAACCAATCCGCTCAAATTCGGCCCTTATGTGTGGCAGACGTACAAACAGGTGGATGGTCGCAGGCATCGCATCGGTAGTGCTCTCCACAGGTTATTCTCACAAGGTGAACTGCAGGGTGAGGACCTTCAAACCGTTGGTATATGGTCAGTGAATAGGCCAGGTATCCATGTCATTTATCACTCCAAGTTCAGTTCTGACCGATCACCACAGAGTGGCAACTTGTTGAACTCGCTTTACATGCTTACAACAAAGTCGGGGTTGGTCTTTACGATACCCTTGGCAAGGATTCTGTAGGCAAGTTGATTATCTTGGGCCATTTCCTATCGTGCTGATGACTTCGCCACAGAATATATGTATGTGATGTTGCCGCTATCTCATTTAAACCCCTCAACATTCGTGATTGTTTAGTATCAATCATGCGCATCTTAGTATCATTTTCACTATGGTCGATCACATACCTGCGCTATTGAAAATAGCTCCCAAGGTTGCAGCCATGAAAATGATCGTGTCCTTCAACAATTTGAGTCAAGATGCTCGCAAAGCCTTGGTGGCTTGGGGAGAGACCGTCGGTGTGCAGGTCAAAGAATTCTCGGAATGTGAGTATTTCACCCTGATTTCTACCTTACTGCTATTTACATGCTCCGTAGTTGAAAAGTATGGTGAAGAGCACTTGATGCCGCCAATTCCCATTTTGCCCGACACAGTCGCATCCCTATGCTATACTTCAGTACGTGGCTTTCATATTACATTTTAAGCATCATCAACCAGGTATTTCAGGGCACGACTAGCCAACCCAAAGGTGTGAGACATCCATTCTCTTTCCTTCTGACACTTGAATTCTTGCTCATTAGGTGTGGTACTTACTCACGGAAACCTTGCATCGTCCGCATATTCCAACATGTTTGGTATGGAATATTCTCCAAATACTAGCGTTCTCTCTTACTTGCCGTTGGCTCATATTTATGAGGTTCGTTGGCTTGGTCACCTCGTCTTCTATATGCTGACCTCCTTGCAGCGTGTGGTCGAACTCACAACCTTGGCCATCGGTGGATGTATCGGGTTTTCCACTGGCGATAACTTACGTCTCCTTGAAGATGTGCAGATGCTGAAGCCTCACTTCTTCCCTGCTGTACCTTGTGTATTGAATCGAGTCTATCAGTCTGCCATGGCTGCTGGCAATGTCCCTGGACTGAAGGGCGCTCTCTTCCGGGCAGCTGTGCGCGCAAAACTCGACCAGTATCATGCCACAGGTGTCAGTACCCACGCATTCTGGGATGCCCTTGTCTTCTGGAAGGTATGTTCTCATCAACCGTCTCACATTCCTAGTTACAACCTGATATATTATTCAAAGATTCGTGCTGTGCTCGGCGGAAACCTGCTACTTGTCAGCACGGGCTCTGCACCTATCAGTGCCAAGGTCATCGATTTCCTGAAGATCGCACTCTTCTGCGAAATTACAGAAGGTACGATCACTCATCTTTGATTGTTAATTATCAGCTGACAGATGGATTAGGTTACGGAATGACTGAGAACTGTGGTGTCTGCACGCATACATTCAAGGCGGACTTCAATTGTGGAGGAACCATTGGTCCTCCTCAGCCCGTGAACGAATTGAAATTGGTCGATGTGCCTTCTATGAATTACACGGTCGAGGACAAGCCCAATCCTCGAGGCGAACTTTGTGTCCGTGGTCCCAATTGTTTCACAAGATATTATAAAGGTGAAGTCGTGTGCGGACACGTGTATTGGTGTTAAATGCTCAGCATTGCGACAGACGAGAAAAACACCCGGGACACCTTGCAAGACGGGTGGATTCACACCGGCGATGTTGCCGAGGTCGACCCGCAAGGCCGATTCAAGATCGTCGACCGTGTTAAAGTAAGTTTCCTCTCATTCACCATTGCCTTGACTTCATTGCATTTATTACACAGAATATTATGAAACTTGCACAAGGCGAATATGTCGCTCTCGAGAAAATCGAGAACATGTACATCGCATGCCCACTTGTGCAGCAGATCTTTGTCCATGGCGATTCATTGCAATCGTACCTGCTGGCTGTGCTCATCCCAGACCCAGTGACTCTGGCCTCGGCATCACCATCTCCCAATGATCAGCCTCCATACATGAACCTCAACAACAGTCTACCAGGGAGTACTACCGTTAGAACATGATGATCGGCCAGCAACCTTCTGGAACCACGGCTTTTGGTCACCCCGCCCCTGTCACCCAGCATATTCCCTCGAGATGCGCCCACTGCTACACGACACGGGCATCGCCGTCATTCTACGGTGAATCCCACATTTAGTCCTTTAGTATCAAATGTCCCTCTATCTCCCCGCCAATCGTCTGCAGCCCCTTTATCACGATCAACTTCGACTTCTATCAAAGACTTTGTCATCGTCAAGCCTATCAGCAAAGGAACTTTTGGATCTGTCTTCTTTGCGAAGAAGAAGGCGACTGGAGACTCTCACGCTATCAAGGTTCTGAAAAAGGCCGATATCATGAATGTCAAGGTGGAGCGCATGATTCTTATGAAGCAGGCCGAATCGCCCTTCGTTTCGAAATTGTACTTCACATTCCAGAGCAAGGAAAACTTTATCTGGTTATGGAGTATCTGAATGGTGGCGAATGTGCCGCTCTTGCTATCAAGTCTTTGGGCTCACTTCCCGAAGAGTGGACGAAGCAATACATTGCTGAAGCTGCACTGGGGCTTGAGTATTTCCACCAGCGTGGCATTGTTCACTGGTAAGTTCTACAAAATGTGCGGAAGCCGCATGCTTATCATTTTTGCAGTGACTTGAAGCCTAGCAACCTTCTCATCGACCAGCACAGTCACTTGAAGCTCACTGATTTCCGTTTGAGTAGGATTGGTCTCCTTGGTCGTCAAACGCGCGAACCCATGGACATGGGTATGCGACATCGCACAAGATATGATTCACGTTCGCGACCACTTTCAATTGACTCCGGCTTTCTTTCATCACCCTTACTTTCAACCGAAATGATTGATGGAGGTTCATATTTTAACCAGGTAACACATCCGGTGCCACGAATTTCGCCTTATCAACTTTCCACAGATGACGCAAGCGAATCTGGTTCCGAATCTATATGCAGCCATCACTCACATCGACTGACCACCGGCTTGGCTTATACTCGCGTGGTCACACACCCCCGGGGGAGCAGAAGTTTGCTGGTACGCCAGATTACCTTGCTCCAGAAACCACTCTTGGCCTTCGTGGAGATGCTGCTGCAGTGGACTGGGTTAGTACTTCATCATTGCCTTGTGCATTTTCACGTTGCTAAGCTGTCTACAGAAAATGTATGCCACATATCAGATCTTCGAATGTCTTGTCAAGTTCGACATTTTCTTTTGGGTCGGCTTCTCCGTGCAGTTCATATGGTTGGTCCTCCAGAAGAACGATTGGGAGTACTACGTCACCTGGGCAGCTCTCCCGTTATCAATTCTCCTCCTCATCGAAGGCCACCTTGCTGCGCGTCACGAGAATAAGTGGATGATGGGAACTTTCAGTTCAGGATACATTGGTGGCACCATTTATTCGGTCCTCAACATCCTCACTCAGTACGGCGATCCTCGTTTACATGCACATTATCTCACTGATCGTACCTAGGCTCGGCTTTTCCACAACAGCGGTCATTCTTGGGGGTCAGACACTCGCCAATATCAATCCTGGCACCCTTCCGCTCGTCGTTGGCATCATTATCGTTGGTGAGGGCGTGCTCTCTCAGCAGATATTCTCAGCTTTGGGGGAATCGTATTCGGCTCATTTACAGGGGTGAGTCCACTCATCATCTTTCTTATATCACAACAGGGGCTAAATACTGAAAACCTTTCCACCAGTGGGCTCTAGTCGCTGCAGACTATAATTGCCGACTGCCGGCTGATACGCCACCCATGCGTGTATTCCTGCTTACATTCTTCGGCTTGTTCATCCCTATCTGCTTTGTCCAGATCCTTGGCGCAGCCCTTATGACAATCACAGATCCGGCATACATCTTGGCATACGCAGACGGTTCGACAGGTGGCCTAATCGCGCAAGTTCTCTCCCCTTGGGGTCACTTTGGCCAATTCGTCCTGGTCCTTCTCGCACTTTCTGTCGTGTAAGAATGGTTCAACACCTTCTTGTATATACTAATTCAAGAATAGCGCCAATAATATCCCAAATACCTACTCCACTGGCCTGTCAATACAAGCCCTCGGACACCCATTCGCCATCATCCCGCGCTTCTTCTGGGTTTTCATCGCTTTCATCGCATATACTGTAGCAGGCGTCATAGGCCGCGAACACTTCAACGCCATCCTTTCTAATTTCCTGAGTATTCTCAGTTACTGGACGGCTTTCTTCATCGTGATCGTAGCCGAAGAGCACTTCATCTTCAGACGGAAGAACGGACCACTTGGAGGTTACAATTTGGATGATTACGATACGCCGTCAAAGTGAATCTACTGGTTTTGGGTGAAGATGTCATTGACTCGTTTGCTTATGACGTTTCAGCTTTTCCGGGTCCTTCAGTACAGGACCACGCAATATGCCTCGTACTGGAAACCACTCACCATGTTCTGTAAGTCCTTTGATATATAATTGGTTGCGGATGGGTCAGAGGCCATGAGCGTTGCCGGCTGATCTTCTAGACCTCGGCTAGCTTTCCCAAAAAGTCACTGCTTCGCGACCCTTTTACGCTCCTGCGTTTCACGTCTAATGGTCTCGGCGACCGAAAGATTACTTTTGCAAGCTGAGACTGCAGATAATGTGGTCCACAAGCCTTGATTGATCAAGATGTGCTCGTTATCAAAGGTACATCTATCATGTTTGCTGCCGTCGATATGTCCCTAGTTCACAACAATCGTGTAAGGGAGGTTGGCAAAATTTATTCGTAAAGCTTGGTGTTTGACCGCGAAAGTCCTTGGAAGCTGCGATACGTGATTTGAGATACTTGTTCAAGTCGTACGTATACAGGCTATAGGATGTGCGATTGACATTGGGGTGATATAAATTGCTCTCAACTAATCTCGTCGTATCTCTCATTACTAATCCATCCTTTGGAACACAGGTCTAGGTATCGAGCGGTAAACTTTCGAAGAATGAAAATGGGACATCTAGAATATATTGGCGTGGATCGGTAAGTTGGTGATTCATCGCACGTCTCACCTGGTGTCCCTAACTCACATCTTGCACCACGCCTTGAACTTTCCCCTCAATTGCCCCCAACATCCTAATGGCACCTCCGTATCACCCGCGATCTCCAGTTCTGGCTTTGAAGACCTCAACCTTCGCTCTCTTTCCAGACAGATTCCTGGTGAGTCAGAGCGTTGAATCTGTCGCGCATGCCGCTAATATCGTTCAGCAACGATCGATGACCAAAAACTGGTACTTACTGCATACGCTGGACTTAGGTTGTATCGTGTCACTCGTACTGATATGTTTATCTTGATCATGATATCGTAGGACGTCTTTTACACAAGGTAAACTTGATGTTTTGAGAGTATCGTGACCGTCACACCCTTACAGTCACAGTGGTAACTTATTTCCTTCTCGGACTGTCGCTGACGTTCAATTCAGCCCATTTCTCACTGACGCCACACTTGGAAGCCTCCGAAACGGACGAGAACTTTGCAATTGGCATGATCCATGTCATATGCCAAGATGATGCTCCACCTCCGGGCCAACACATGCGTCGTAAATGGTTCTGACTGGATAGAAATCGAATCGCCAAGTCCACCAGGATCGGACAAAAGTTCAGTCACTCCGAGTCCAGCTTGATCACTGACCACACATTCTCCGACAGTTGCAGTCCGTGCGGGATAGCAAGTCATCCTTACGAACTACCGGTTAAGATAACCTGGTATTGGTGGCCTTAAATAACAGGTGCAGAGCCATCTTCTCACTCGTACTTACCATCATTTTCAAAATCCTCCAAACAGACAATGTCTCTCCCCGAGAACACGACCATGCTTATTTTTGGTGCAGGCCCCGCAGGTCTCACAGCTGCCCTTTCTCTCGTCCACCACAGGTGCCATGACTTCCTCATCGTGGATGCTGTAGGCGAAGGACTGAATGCATCGAGGGCGATCACCATACACTCTGCAACCATTGAGGTAAGCTACCTTTTGCGTTCGTAAGAAGGCCCATTGATGTTATCGGCATAGATGGTGCCCGCTCAATTGTGAGACCTCAATGCCTCCTCCCAACTTAGCTTAGTGGAATATCTGATGATCATTTTTAGATCCGTACTATCGCCGGCATAGGGTTCTCTGACCCAGAAGGCCCACGCCTAGCCAATAACGTATTGGCTCAAAACTACGAAATCCATCTTTCGTGTAGGTTGTGCCATACCTGCAAAGAACGGAGAGCCACCCCGTGCTCCACCGAAAGAGTACATCCAGAACTTAATTGACACATACGGGCCAGTTCCAGGTTTTGCTCACTACATACGAGTACATCATCAAGGACTGGCCTATTCTCAGCAAGCTCAAATGGGTTCACATGATCATCGGTGAGTGGGTTTGGGCATTTTGTCGATTCTTGGGTGCTCATCTTTGGTGTCAGATGAGGGACATCGCATGAAGAACACCCAGTCGAAGCTTGCGCAGACGCTCACGCAATACTATCATTCCCACTACCGCCTCATTCTCACTGGTACCCCCCTGCAGAACAACCTTCCTGAACTTTGGGCCCTCCTTAATTTCGTCCTTCCCAAGATCTTCAACTCTGTCAAATCATTTGATAAATGGTTCAATACGCCGTTCGCGAACTCGGGTACAGGGGACAAGATCGAGTTGAATGAAGAAGAAGCACTGCTCATCATCCGGCGGTTGCATAAAGTGTTGCGGCCATTCTTGTTGAGAAGGTTGAAGAAAGACGTGGAGAGCGAACTTCCAGATAAAATGGAGAAGGTGATCAAAGTCCGCATGAGTGCCCTGCAGAGTCAGCTGTATAGGCAGATGAAGAAGCACAAGATGATCGCCAATGGAAAGGACGCGAAGGGGTACATTGTTTTTGCTTTCGGCGGAACGGTGGGCCATAGTGCTGATTTCTTTATTTTATAGCAAATCTAGAGGTGGGAGGGGTTTGAGCAATGAGCTTATGCAGTTGCGCAAGATTTGTCAACACCCGTTTTTGTTCGAGAGTGTCGAGGACAAGGTCAATCCCACCGGACTTATCGATGATAAATTGATAAGGTCGGCCGGCAAACTCGAGCTCTTGTCGCGTATCCTTCCCAAATTCTTTTCAACGGGCTAGCGTGTATATCATCAGATCCGTCTCTTAACCCAAGACCTGTCAAAGTCGATCAGCTGGTCTGGTCGACACGTTTCAGAACCCATTCCGCCATCGCAGAGGCTGTCACGAAGTACATTCAAGTGTCTGCAGAGAATCTCGATGTGGATGATACCATTTTGCAGGAATTTGGAGAGGCGCGTCATGCACGAGCGCTAGAAATCATCGGTTTTACTAAGACACTTTTGAAACTCGCAGGTCTTATGTATGATTCATAGTATTTCTGTTTTCAAAGATAGGATATATGTAAAAGTATCAAACATTTCAGAGTGTACATTACTGGCTGCAGTCATTGAACGGACTTGAATGTGCTCTTGGTCAACGTATAATTCTGCTACCGGCCGTTACATTGTGATGCTTGGCTGTATAGAGGAAAGCGGAGGTTCGAATTCACATGCACAGGTTCAAAACTACTACCTCGAACCTTTGGCCCGTCTGCTCCGACGTCGCTGCACCTCAACCTCGTTTTTGAGTCACACGGCCCATTAAATTCGGCAGTCATTGTAAAACCAACTTTCCATCAGAATGCTTTATATAGCCATAGAACCGAGACCATACATAAGACAAAGGGAGAATGGGCTCTCAATTTGTGGCCACTACGCTACCGTGACTTGTATGCTAATGATGCTGCTATACTTCAACTCCGTCATTGATGTACCTTGTAAGTTTAGATCTGGGGTGTATGTATGAAAAACAAAGATTTCTTATGGAATATATAGATATTTAGGAAAAGCATCTCTACAGGTCTCATGGCAACACTCACAAAGCATACGAACTGGACGCTATTAGTCCTCACAGGCAGTGATGGCACAATGTCACAACATTGTCATAAACTCGCGTGCTAATTTAGTTTTGCTGACCAATGCGAACACCGCTTTCCGAGAGAAAGCCTTGAATAGTCATATAATTTATGACATAAATATTGAAGAATGAGAATGCTCGACAAGGGGGACATACTTACGCTACCATCTCTTGCCGGCCATCACACTACGACATCACAACCTTCTCATAAACTGCTCGCGATAATCTAGATTTGCAGACATGAATGACTATGTACCAGCAACTCAGATTTATCACAGTATATATTGCCATATTTACTAGGAGCAGAATTATATCCTTCTATAGTTACCACAGGTACAATATCACGGACTCATCAATTCACTGATGGTAACTAGACATGGCTGTAGACGTGACATCGAGGTGGGCAAATACGGTGTATGTTGAAGTAATGCCCAGAACTTCGCAGGGGTGCTGGCCCCAAGAGGTCTTGTACTTTTGACTGAAGGCCCATCATTCAGCTGCAAAATTTGTAGTATATTACTCACCACCTTTGCGATCAATAATATTCAAAACAACTATAATTGTCGTGCCTGGGAAGACACTGCGAAGCATTTCAATGCCTTCTTCGACTACATGCGGGATCTGTGAGCGTCCTGTTGGGAGAGAGGAGATATCTGAGAGGGCATACAGCTACTAGTGAGTAGTGTTGCCGCAGTTCCGGTTCATGCCCGGCTTTAGCTATGAGCGGAGCTATAGTTAGCCAAGCCACGTACCTAGTTATAGCTTATGTAATTGATGGCTCGGTCTAGTCAACGGAACCATATTAATGGTCTTCAAGTCAGCTCGAGCCAGATTTTTAATTAAGATAAAATAAATTAGACTACATGAATTGATGGACTCTGAGAATGTTCAGGTAAGCATAACACTTACACAAAAGGACATACCAGTAGCACTAGCCCTAACCCAACTTAAGATTGAATCAAAGTACCTGTGTACAAACATACAACTATCATCTGTCCTGAACACAGTGAGTAAGAAATGCGAAAGTAGATTTCTGGTAACTTGAGTCTGAAATATCTTCTGCCAATCGACTCATGCTGATCAACAAGGGACCAAAAGTGGGTTTATTGCCTACAAAAATTTGAGATGAGGTCACAATAGTCAGATGAAAACTTACAATCAGAGATAAAGCTGTGGTGAAGATTGGAGGGCATGACATTGGTTGACATTGGATAGACATGCTTGGTTCCTGCATGTTTGACGCTGTCGTGACTCATGAGTACCTGCAACAGGCTGGTTGGGAAGGTAGGTCTGATGAGGGCATCCAGAACATCAAAAACCTTGCTGTGTTGGCATTTAGTCAGTTATGAATGCATGAGTTAGCGCAGTCCTCACCTGAAGCTTGTGAGTGAGCAATCCAATGAAGTTCTTGAAGTCAACAAGGTCAGAGTGTTCATACTGAGCAAGAAGGTTCGTCATCAATAGAATGAAACATTGATAACTGAAAAGCGACCTACAGCCATCTACCTGGAGATAGGGTATTAGCAAGGAGTGCTCTGGCATTCATGAAAGAAGAATCGTTGCAGCGCGACAGTGGTTGATATTGGAGGAGAGATGGATTGCGATTCTGCAAGAAAGAAGATCAGTTTAATTGTGGTCAACAGATGGTGCAAGCAAACCATCTTTTCTATGAGGTGGTCTGGTTTCACATCGAGAAGCATTCGTTCAGGATATGAGTCATATCTCGTGAGTGCACTGTCAGGAATTGAGAACCTAGGGCAAAAGACTGGTCAAATCGGCAAAGAAGTTAGACTGAGCAACTAACCTGTGGAGAAACAACAGACTTGGCATGTGAGTGTTGCCGTCAAACTGGCGGCTGTTGCTGTTGCAGGTTGGAAGGCTAGGTGATCCCATCACTACCATTGTGGTCGAGCTGTCGAGCTCGTCATCTCACGGTTGCCCACAATTCATGTGATACATTGTACACCAATCTGAGTTAACTGAAGGCTAATAAACAAAAGAGTGATTGAACATATGTAGTTCTCCCTAGAAGCGTTCTCAGGTTGCTGAGTAGGAGTTTGACACGTTGTACGAAATTGTTTAATGATATAGAACATGTTGTCATCAGGAAATTGACCTGAATCTGTTATGACTAGATGCATGTGACAAACAGAAAACATTATTATATGTCTAGCTTTAATTTTAGATATCTTTATCATGGTGTCACACATATACAACATGAGATATGATTTTACAAGGGTGATATAACTCTGATATATGTATTATAGGCTGACACCAGTGTGATAACAGAACCTTCCAACCATTATAATTGGCTGGCCTCAAAACACATAATTATATGCTAAGCTTTTGAATTATATGACATTATCACATGTATGACAGAAGATATAATTATATAAGGGAGATATAATTTTGATGCTTGTATTATAAGTTGACAGCAATGTAACAACAGAACCTTCCAACCATTATAATTGGCTGGCCTCAGCACATATAATTGCATGTTAAGCTTTAGAAATGAATAATATCATCACATATATGACAGAAGATATGATTATATAAGGGAGATATAATTTCGGTCCATGTATTATATGGCCAACAGCAGTGTGATGACAAAACCTTCCAACCATTATAATTGGCTGGCCTCAAAACACATAATTATATGCTAAGCTTTTGAAATGTATGATATCATCACATGTACGACAGAAGATATAATTATACAAGGGAGATATACTTTTGATGCGTGTATTATAGGCTGACAGCAGTGTGATGACTAAACCTCCACTCATTATATTTACCTGGCCTCAAAACACATCATTATATGTTCAGCTTTGATAGTATAATGCTGTCACACATTTATGAAAGAAGATACATGCGAGGGAGATATAATATTGATATGTATTTTGGATGGCACAACAGCATGACAATTGAACCTTCCATACAAACTAGCTGATTGATATTATTAGAGTACCATATAAGTGAGATATAAGTTTGTTTTCATTTTATTAGTGGCAGTACATGGTATCACAACTGTAAGTATGAGTGTTGTAGTACGAACAGGAATGAGTAAACTGGTCTTATCAAAGTCCAAAGTTCTCACTCCCTCATGCGCACGGCTCTTACCTGAATACCAAAACATGTGTCTCAATATTTGGACACCTGCTAGCAATGACTCGGAGGTAGGGTGAACAAGTGTTTATATGTGCTGGTTATTAGAAGTATTTAAGGCTGAAGAGCTTTACTAACATTTCATGCGGATAGATCCTAATCGGTGATCATAGTGATAGAAAAGAATAGAAATAACATAAATGAAGTCCATCGTACAACTAACTCGCATGAGATCAATATAAGTATGAAAACGGTATGACACTACTACAACCCGGGGTACAACTCCAAGTAAGTATCACGGGGACAAATCAGAAGACATGGATGAGGTTGACATGCAATCATCAAACCCAACATGATAAAATCTGAATCATCAGTGTCATCACTTTCAGAAGCCCAGCCTACTATCATCTCAGTGCGAGGAAGCTTGAAGAAGCTGCATGCTCACCATCATTATTGCCATGGAACTCGGCGATGCGCGCGATGGCTTCAGACAACATGTCGACTTTGGACTGTGCGCGTTGCTTCTTCAAGTCCAGAACGTGGAAATCAGACTTGAGCACCTGTAGGGATTTAAGCTCTTTTGTTGTGAAGCTGTTTCTGTGGTCGAAGCGTAAAGGCTCATTGGCTTCTGCCAGTGAGGCGCTCGTAAATGCACGATATGTGAAATTATTAACCCAAGCTTTCATCACACAAGGTAGGGGAATAAGCTGATCATCAGGCTGTACAGCGTCAGAATACTGGGCCCTTGTAATCCAAATAGCACCTACCCTTAGGATATGGTCATGGGGACAGGGGTATTATAGAGTTACTGGGAAATCAAGAAGTATTTGGCTGGAATTAGAATCTTGTGTGGTATCCTGAGACTGCGACGATGTGCGGAGCCATGCATGGCATTTTTCTTGGATGGCCTTCATAGGTTGGAAGCAATCAAAATTGACTAAGGCGGACACTTGGCATGGACCCGCATACCGGACAGCGTTAGGTGTGACCAGTTTCTCTGGATTAACACTAGATGGAGCTATGAATAATTTAGAGTGTCATTGCATGATTCTTCGAATAACGTAGCTCACTTGGGTGACATCTACCATTCAGTTCTTCACACAAGTTTGCTATAGCGTTACTGAACAATGAGACTTCTAGTTGTGCCTGATCCATTCTCTCCTCCATCAAAAAACGCCCTCCTCGCTTGAGGTATTCCAAGCAGCTTTCTTCTTCTTGCTGGAGGCCAGTTTGCGTTGTGTCCTCCTTGAGGCTCACTTCAATAAGAGCCTTAATATCAAGAGGATCGACTAATCCAAACAGCACTGAAGCTGTGGTAAAGAGTGAGTCTGGGAGCTGAATACGAAGTCATGAGAGAATGCTATGAAAATGATATGTAAGTGCACTGACACTTTCACGTCCCTTCATTTGGAGCCAACATACAATGTTGCTCTCACTGTGTGTAATACCAAGAACATCGAGGTTCAGAGCTGTGTCAGATGTAGAAAGAACAATATTTGACAAGTTGAAAACTCTTGAGCAGAGAACAAATGGGGATATTCACACAATGATTTAATGCTGACACAACCTATAGAGTTGGTTGGGAGCAATGGCAGAGCTATGGCGCATTTCTGGCGATCAAACTATAAAAATATTAGATCCAACAATGACTATAACAAATGACTTAATTCACACACATTTTGAATACAGCCAAGTCCAGGTCCTCGCTTAAACAATCATATTGTCACTTTAGGAACACCATTGCGCGCCATCGGTGAAATTAAAAGAGCCCTCAAGGTGAAGTAAATTCTTGAAGCCCCTCAGAAACACACATGAGCCTGAATATTGGTATTGTCGCTTACCTCCTTGCGCCATCTTGGGTAACCGGGCCAAGCCGTTTGTCGAGCCAGACACTCGTCAACTTGGCACATGGTCATGTTCCCCTTTCTGTTTTGAAGGAGCTCATGGCAGATGGGCTTCATGAGGAGGCAAGATGGATGGATATTGTATTGCCATGTAAGATGGGTGACATCCTAGCTGCAGTAATGAATAGGAAAAATCACAAAGGCCTTCCAACGGAAAACAATGTGCATTTCAAAAACTCTCCCTGTAGACGACATGTGAATGTAACATTATTTAGGTAACCACTCTTGCTTTTTGCCTTGCACTTGGTCCGTTTTACCCGTCGGACATCGGCCTTCCTGCACATTGCATTCTTATCAGCTAGCAGCACAGATATCACATCTAAATAAACTCATGTGAGAGTACATAATGCTTTCATAGCGATGATGAACGGCGCATGGTCGGGGTCGTCAGATTGGTTGAATAGTACAGGAAGTATCTCGCATATCTGCATAAACATCTTGTTCGGAGATATGAACCCATGAAAGTCTTCGGCCTCGCTGTCAATGTAGTCCAACAGGACCTCGTAACACTGATGAAATCAGCAAATAAAAACAGCACATAGAGTAAAAGTAACTGACAGAGGTCACCACTAAGGACAAGGTTGCCATGGGTGGGTGTGCTGCGTCCCTAAAGAACATGGGATCTAGATCAGCAAGAGAGAGACAATGGCTTGGTATGTTATTGTGCCGGAAGATCACATGATAGACTGACTCTTGTGTGATCTGGTTCTCGAGGAACCACACCAAACCATTATCCTGCGTGCCAAAATAAGAGTTTGAGCAACAAAGCCAATTTGGAATGCTTACGGCGAGTGGTAAACAACTTGCCCACAGGCGCATCAGCTTCAGTGTGAGGGCAATGACCTTATCATGTAGGGCAACCCCAAAGATATGCTTGAGGTCAAAGCCAGTGCCATTGATCATCATTGAATCCTTCACGTGACACTTGTTGTCATACATCCAAAGGCTGAATTAAGGATCACCCTGTTCTGGGATGAGTCGAGTAGGAGAAAACAAGAATATTACGAACAAGAGCCAAGATTTCCGCTTCAGACATGATATTTTTGGTTGGTATAGTGAGTACTACGCGAGAAATTAGCGTGTTTGTAAGGATTCAGAAGAATCGAGCTACCCACCCGGTTCCAAGTCCATCGGCTGCAGATTACAACAAGTGAGAGCTTGGGGCCAGATAGACTCTATCAGTGCCTTTCGCTCAGCAGCATAGTCGGCCATGACAAGTAGAAAAGGACTGGGAGTATCTCTGCGGCACATGGCAACTCGTATCATGCACCAAAGGTTGCCAAGAGCCCTTGCCCACTTGGGGTACTTAGAGTTGATATATTGCAACATCACTTTCTTGGGTTTCTTGGCACTAGTTTGTTTTGTGATGGGACTAGACACATCAGTACTAGTGTCGCCTCCGTATGCTGGATATGCGGAGGAGCCCATATAGGAACTCTCCAGGATGGAAGAGCCGAGGATTGAGCCAGGTCCGACTAGACCAGACTCTGAAGAAGAGGGGGCAGCATGACTGCACGCACGAGATGTGGTCGCAATAGGGTTGTAATGGAAACAATCAGATGCGGGAATTCACAGAGAGGATTTCAAAAGAGGCGCTGAGTTCAGTGGGATCAAAGCCGTCTGTGTCAGATCAAACATAGCATTTGACATCGGCGGGAAATAGAGAAGAGGTAGTTCCACATAGAGAAGAGGGTCATATCCTGCAGGATAAAGTGCAGGATGGACGACACTGTCATTATAATCTACCTATGGTGTTGTCAGGTAAGATAAGAAGAAAAAAGTGAGGCACTGACACAGCTGTAGAGGTTGTAATGATTGCCGTCGTGACCCAGCCTTCTGCCTACGTAAGGAATATTGAACGCATTGGGTGAAGAGTCCAGCTGTGGAAATTATCAGCCGAAAGATGATGGCATTGTCAAAATTGAACTTACCGCATAGATGGGCACTTCCAAATCTGGCCCTTGCTCATAGGCCGCATTGTGCAGCAACCCAGTCCGCAAATAAGCTGACAATAAAATCTGTGATCTCAACTAGAGCAGCAATCAGTGTATATAGTGCCCCAAAATAAACACATACCATAGTAAGGCCTGCCTGTGAAGACTGCGCTAACGTTGAAACACAACAAAAAGTCTCAGGGCATGCAAATACATACATAGAGAGGGTAAAGAGCTACTGGTGCCCCTACAGAGACATATCCTACGAAAGCCAAAACATTTGATGTCTCGGGGCAATTTTCAAGGACAAATTGTTTGAATGTGCATGAGTGAGTGTTATGGATATTGAAATGAAAAACATAACTTACTGAAAAGGTGAACAACGCCTCCTCTCGAAAGAGGATGGAGTCAAAGAAGAGCGCACTGTTGTCTGAATTGAAGAGGAAAAGCATCAATATCTAGGTAGTGTCCAAAAAGAAAGGATGAGTTATTATAGTCACCCATTTGCGTAAAATTATGTGCCATTGCAACACCATCTTGTTATTACATGTAAATGCGTGTGATATAGGGCATCATGGTGATGTGCATAAAAAAATGCATAGATAATAAACAGCGCCATTGCGGGGCCATCGACCTGAATGGTTAAATGGTTAAATGTATTATGTGTGGTCGCACATCGCTAATTTTCATAATCTAAATCTACATCGCTATCGTACATCTCACCAAATTGTTCTAACAATGACTTGGTGCTAACATCAAATCGCTCCTCAATGACTTCGATGACTTCCACTCTCGAAGTGCCATTGTCTTCCTCTTCAGATTCACTGTTATACTCCTGGAAATCTTCATCGTCGGCCGCATTGTCTGCGGGAACAAATGTGCTGCACTTCCTTGTCGCTGGAGGTCAGGTTGCGTGTCACGATAGTGAGAGTAGATGTGTCTGATCCCGAGACCGAAATGGAATCGCATCAACATATCATGATCAACAAACCTAGAATCATAAGTTCAAATTTTCTATATCCTAATGATTCCCAGACTCACCGATTAATGAAATATTCTCGCCAATCATCTTTATCTCGCGCACATGCTGACTTACCCGATCCCTCCGGATGTCTCTTGCGTTTCGCGAAGGACAGTATTATGTGGCATCCCCTCAAGACATCTACTGGATCGAGGAAATTGAAAGAATACTCATCCGCCATGGGCGGAAATCTAACTCTATCTAGGGTCGAGGTCTCCCAGACAGAGAGCTTATCCATGGGCTCATACCAACAAACCCATAGGAACTCCATTCAAAGTGGTGTGTAGTCGACCATGCTGACTCCGATATATATGACATGGACATGATATATACCAAGTACCTTACTGTAGATGAATCTGTGTTCTTGATGCCCCACATTGTTGGCAGTGCGAAGAACCATCACATTGCAGTGCGATGTCCTGGGGTTTATAACATCTTGGGCCCTGCGAACATTGTATGTAGTATAGTTGAACCTGGTGATGTTGTGGCGATAAATCCAATCGTCCTTAAGTATGACCATGTTGATGTCGTTCTCTTCTGCTCCTTGATTAATGTGGATCCTTTTGAGGAGATGATCCTTGAGCTTCACAACAAAATTCTGTGGGAGCGTGTTAGAGTCGTTTGCGCGTGATTATCAGACTTACTTTAATTGCCGGATCACCTTCATGGCTAATTAGATATGATCCTATGTGAACAGGGCACTTTTGCATTGCACCAATGTAATGGTGGATGTGTGGGCTTCTGGCAGATTCAGTGATTTCAAGGTGGGGTCGATGAGATGTTTTGTTGCCGATACGACGAATGCGAGTCTGATGCCATTCGATCTGGGTTAACTGTTTGACAAATGATTTGCGATCTGTCCGGCGATATCTGGACTTGGGAGAATGGTGCTCGAGTTCACCCTGTAGTGCTCGGTGAGTTACATATGGAGAGCCAAATTAAGGGGACGTACAGGTTTGGAGCTGTATGAATCTGTTGTACCATATCTACGAATTGTAGACACATAATCACCTAAAGCATGAAACTTATATGTTTGGAAGTTAAATGTCTTTGTGCGCTGGGCATTATTGCGCAATGTCTCCAACACTACCACCTTCCCTTGTTCTACTATGCTAGATATATCCTTGCCTTTCTGTCCTCCCGCTTGTTTTGCATTGCGTCGGGCATGAACCTCGACCTCCTGGCCAAGTTCGCGATGTAGAAACAACAATACTGTGAGGAACAAATGAGGCTCCAGACTGTATCTGTAAAAGTTGTAAGGTCGTGCGTTTGCCTAGTCTGCGTTACTTGAGAAGACAAGTGCATTCGACCCTAAAGGGGAAGCAAGTGCAGCAAAGATCTAGAGGTACGTGCTGAAGCGAAGCACGAGAAAGTGCAGGTGCGCGCAAGGCGCGGGAAAGCGTGCGCGCGTATGTGGAAAATGATAAAGACTAAGCTTAAGTGAATATATGATGCAATATAAGAGAAGAGAGATGCGAGGTGTAAACAGATAGAGTTCTACTATATTCTGCTAGGTAGTAAGTAAGTAGTAACAGGTAATTGGGAGGTAAAAGTAAGTTAAGTAATAGTATGTACTGCTGGCGCTTATATAGCGTGCCTAAGCGCGGTCATGCGGAGCCGAAGCACTACCGAGTAGGTATGTAAAGATATATATAAGTAAGGGTCCATGATAAAAATAGAGGTGGAATGATATGCATATGAGAGAAATGGAAATATACGCACTATAGAACTTGGTGGACAGTGAATGGATGCTTCTGGATGGCTGGCACTATAGGGCGCTCAAGCGCGGGAATGCGCACGCGCGTATACATCGTGAAGCATGGGCATGGTGTGCGCTGCGCGGGAAAGCTCCGCCTCATATAGGATTAGCTGTGGACAGTACACAGAGTGGTGCTGTGAGTTTGTGCTGTATACTCCCTAGTGGAAACTGCCATATCACGCCATGAGAGGCATGATTCTCTACAGCTAGTTACATAAGCTGAGCAGACCGTTGCTTTGAAGTTGCAGAACTGCTGGCCAACTGCCAAAGTGACCTTATCCATGATATCCAGTGTCCATTCAGAATGGATTCAGAGCTTGGCGAGTCCATGCCAATGCGCCATGGTAAATAACAATTGCAGAATGGATGAATTGTGTGGTTTGGGCAGAAGACCGTCGAAGACAGGGATGGAGCACTTGAGATTGTGTCAATGTCTCATTTGACTTCAATGGAAGTAAGTCATACCTGAAGCAGATCTTCGAAGTTTCAAGCTGCCATACACTTCGTCCCCGAAGAATTGGCTGAAAATTTATGAATGGTAGCTGTGCCAAATGTAGGAATTTGCCTATATCTGGCAGTGAGAAAGTCAGTTGAATATGAAACACGTGATTATGCAACGTACCTTTGGTCCAACTCGTGGATAAGAGCCTTGTCCTGTGCTGCAATGATTCATAATAAATGAATAAAAAGCATTTTCCAGACATCGATCTCGAACTCATGCAGAAGATCTACCACCAGAGCGCAAAAAATATTGAAACCCAGGGAACCAAGGCGATCTGAGAATGTGTTCTATAGAATGGTTAGCTGTTGTCAGTGATAGAAGTTCGAACTTTACCGAGGTGGGAACCCAGGACTGCAACTTGAGAATTTGCTCCACCAGTGCACTCCTGACCGCAAAGTTCTTTTCATAGATTAGTGACCGCGCAGTACTTACCATAGTTCTTCGTTTAGCATCGCTGCATGCCAAGGTTCTGCGCTGGATCCTATCCTGAGGCTTCCTCATATTTTGGATGTGCTCTTTAGGTATCAAGCAACGTGGACATGGACAGTTTCCGAGATTGCGGACCGTGGCTATAAGGACTCTGTAAGATTTGGATTAAACAGTATTCACAGTAAGATACAAGTTCATGTACTTTTCTGGATAATCTGCCGAGTAAGTAAAGATTCTAGGATAGAATATTTGTGTGATACCATCGCAGCAAAGGATCACAATTCCATGCTCGTATGCCTCCAGGAATTCATTGTCCAGCAAGATGTTCCACTGCTCGTGAAATAATTCCCTGTGGCAATGGGTCAAACACTCGCTGGTCATGCCTTTCCCGCCAGCAAAATTCTTGAACAAGTCTGGAAGCTGAAAGTAACAAGTTAATATCTATACAACAAGACATCGGGAGGCATACCGTCTGGAAATACGCAATGTGGTTGCTTAAGTTACACGACGGCTTGCAGCGGCGGTACTTGGACTCATTGCCAAAGTACATGTAGGTCGGCCATAACTTGGCATTGCCAAACAAAGTTAATTGTGTGGCATCGGACCAGAACATCATACCAGCAACGACTCGGGGTAGATTGCAATCGGGCTCCACAGGCAAATTTTGCAGTTCCATATGAGCTTCATGGAAGGCCTGCAACGTGTACAAATCTCCATATATGGAGACCTTGACATCAAGGTGGGAAGGATGCCACCGTAGCTGGTATGGTTCATAATGGAATAGCTTGCTGTCTCATATGTTGGCCAGCTTTTCTCTTAAGACAGAGACAAGGGAGCGATGATACAGATCGGGCACTCGATAAAGGCAAGGGCCCGGTGTTTCAGTGGTACGGCAAAAGGGCACATGGATTGACACTGGCGTTCTTTTCCAACTGGCATCTTCATCTTCCCACTCTTCCCCATCTTCATCGTAGTCGTTGGAACCTAATTGAGAGTTAATTTTCTTCCAATGCATAGAGTTCATGGAATTAACATCGAAGCCACTACTACCCAAGATGTCTATTAGTTTCATGTAGTCAGCTTGTGACTTTTGCACCCCTTGATTCCAGTACCAATCCCCAAGTTGGAATGAGGAACGGTTAGGATAGGGATGGTACAATGAATCGTTTCCCGGAGTCGCGGGTAAGTCTGGTTCCTCATCGACATGAGACTTGCCAGGAATGAATGACAAATCTGCGATGGTAATGTATTGTTCCGGATCGTGGGAGGGTAACATAGAGGAAAAGTATTGACGTACTAGTCCAAAGACATTTGAGGGGGTGCGACATATAGGTGACGATGATAAGGGCAGGGATTCATTGGAATAGGAAGAGACAGCTTGGGTGTGACAGGCAGATGCTGGAGGAAGGTTGTCTAAAGGCGCAGTAGGTGGGGGCAGTGGAAGCACATCCCTAAATCGCTTCGGCAACTGGCGATTCAGATATCTTGGTCTGCACTCTGCTAAACTAAGAGCATCTCCTTGGTCATTTGTTCCTACTGTTTCCTCGATTGCTTCTGCAGCAGCCGAGAATGGGCTGAGCGACGATGCGACAGTAACCTCGGGCTCTGTAAAGGAGTGGGTGTCGCACGAAATAGGGTTGGTGGGTGAATTGGACAATTGATGAGGCGATCCAATGATCCCCACGGGCTCAGCATCATCACTCAAAATACGAGGCTTTTTCCTGCGAGTTACAAATTCCTT